CATCAGTTAAATGTTGCGTTTTGAAATACAATATGCTTAATCTTGATACTGTCTGAAAACTCCCAAGCAAGCACCTTCGTGGCCCCATGGATAAGGCACCGGCCTCCTAAGCCGGGGATTGCGGGTTCGAGTCCTGTCGAGGGTGTCACTTATTTTTCAATTTTGAAAACTTTCTAAATCGTTTTGGTGAGTCAACCCGATGAGATCTGTGAGTCGCTGTATACCATTTCTTTTATAAACCGTTACTGAAACTCTCCATCGCAAGTATACATGAATTTATTAAATTTAGCTCACGCCGAAATTTGAGACACTCAGTGAGAATCACTATCGCCGCAATGGTAATATCCTGCTAAACTAGTGCCCTTCCTTCCTTCCTTCCTTCCTTCCTTTCTACGCTGTTATGAGTGTTACCCACTTGGGTGATCATATCTGTTTTCGATTCATAATTGACTAACTGAATTTTTCTTCCCTGACTGGGTGGCCACCTAAGCCTATAGGATCTAGACTGTACAGCTATTTAAACCATAGTGGAGAGAATAATAAATTCACACCTTTCCCTAAAGTCATTTGCTCGTAGGTGAAAGTTAAAAACTCGACTAGAATTCAAACTCGGCATTCCAACTTGTAATTACGAATTGTTATCGAACACGGACCAACACATTCAAGCTTACAGAAAATGGTATTCCCAACCGATGATCCATCTAGATACAGACCAGGCTCAATGTTGCTTAACTTTGGTGATCGGACGAAATATGAAAGTAAAACAAATCTAGCTTATTAGCTCAACGCACAACGAGAGAGACAGACAGACAGACAGACAGATAGCGTGTGTCTGTGTGCATATGCGTGTTGGTGTGTGTGCATGTAGGTTCTCCGGCAGACACAGTAATTTGAACTAAAATGCCGTAATATTTACTGGTATTATCTTTCTTCTCTGCTGCTAGGTTAGTAATTATAGTGGCGTGGCTTTGAAAAATATCTCGGGTTTCTCCAAAGCCCAACTCTGTGTGAAATGTCGAATATGAAAATTTGAATTAGTAAATTCGTAGTGTAAAAAATGCAGATCGTCGCCTTCTGCATTTCGATTATCTCTATCTATGCAGGCGTTCGAGTGAATGAAATTTGAATAAACGCTACCTGTGATAGCAGGAGTTACATGAGAGCTAAATGATTTATAATCCCTTTTTAATGTACTGTACGACCAAGTAGTATTCTTTTACAAGTGTTCACCCAGTAAACGGCCCAAGTGCCACTCAAGGTAGAAGGTTACTGAAGACGTTTTTGTATGGATGTAAGAGGTGGAAAGATGTGCAGAATGAGAATATGTAGGAAAGATGACAGTTAACGTTAATCTTGAAGAGGCTAAGATTGTAGCAGTTGAGAAAGCACATCTCGGATGTCTGCTCTACAAAGTAGGAGTTCTTCGGAAGAAGATGTCCAAAATGGAAGTTTCTTCTTAATAGAGCAATCAGAAGGGAATAGGGATGAATCGTTCCAGTGGACATGGCCATAAATGTCCAAAGCAGGGAGCCTCATTGTGAGTCCAAATGTCCATCATGACTGGAGAATATTCAGAATCTGTTCGGTCGCGATAAAGCGTCATTAGCTTAGTTCTTTTTATATTAAATATTATATATTAAATGTTACAAGACAGCATTTCCAACTTAAATGTTTATCTCCTTGGATATTTTCTTCCTCGTAATGTTGGAGAAGCTTGTTTTTAATAATGACGATAGAAATCAAATAAAACCCGTCTGGTTTCTGAGAAAATACTTAAGTTTGTTTGTTTTTTTTTTTTTTTTTTTTTGTAAATACTAACTTATTTGAAAAAGTGTGTCAAATCTTCTTTGAAATGTGAAAACAACCCGAGGAAGTACAGGAATTGTACCCTTATTTTGTGGGTGCAGTAAACAGAAGAATTTTACTCATGAGCCCAAATCAAGTCCATTATATTGACGTCATGTTGACCTATATAAGGCATGAACTACGCACTGAGGCTTGGACAGGAAGGTACACATTACAAAACGGAATATGCTGCCACAGAACATAACGAAATTAGATGTTATCACCAGAGACGGTTAAAAAAAGACTCTTGTGGTTGTCGTATCTACAATGACTTTTTTTGCCTTGATCATTCTACAAATGGGGACAGAGAAATCATCTAATGTACTGGTGTGTGTAATTCTTTGGCGACTTTAATTTGTATTTGTTTTTTATTTGTTTATCATCTTTGTTTTCTCTGTAATTAAGATAATCTGAATGGATATGTGATAAAAAAAATCCGAAAAAATCTAATATGCATTAACTTTCCTAAACTGAAATATCTCTCGAAGAATCGATTGAAAGATAAAAAAAATAATAATCCTAACATTAGATTTGTACAAAGTGATTTTCTGTGATTTATTCCCATTTAATTGCAAAGTTACCTAGAAATAACTTTGTGATCCATAGAAACGCCACGTAAGTTACTGACACCCCATGAGTTAAACTCTGTGCAATAATAGAAACAATTCAAGTATATTATAAAAGTTACAACTGGATAGAATTTTTATTTTATTTGGCCCACTACCTTAAGTGGAAAAGGTTATTAGTCATGATACATCCTGATCTATAAACCACGACTGTCATCTTCAATTTCTATTTTTGCCTAGGTCATCCGGATGAGTTAATTTCTGTAAATATGGATCAGCGAAAATATTTGTAATTTTATTCCACTTCGACTTATATTTTTTTTTCTTAGTGTGTGTGTATATGGGGATTACTACCCGCTGATGGTAATCACAGGCGGTGCAAAATTTGTAAATTTCTTGCACCGATAGACACGAGGCATTTAAGTAGTTCACAGACGCAAACTGAAGGTTGCTTTGACCCATTCATAAGTTTTAGTGCGTTTCTAATATTATCCTTCTGTAACATGTCCGTTTTAATACATTTATTAATTATTGTTTGTTTGAATTCCATATTTTATATTTGTTTTTATCCGAACTGACACGAATCCGTCAAATATTGTTTCCTGAATGAATGTTTCAGGGGACATAAAATGAACAACTTCCGTTCTCACAACAGTTTATTCTTCATTGGTTTATCTTTAATTTCGGAAATTCAAAAGATAATCTCAAAGGATATGTAATTAGGAGAATACGAAAATGTGTAAAATAAATTGACTCTTTGGGATGACATTTCCTAAACGAAGAAGACGAAGAAGACAACACAACATTAGATTGCTAGAAATTCATTTTTTTAAGCGTATTAATGATCTATTCCCAGCAAATCTACCTAGAAAGAAGTTTTTGAATTCTCGAGATGTATAATCCATGTGTTGAATGTAAAGGTATAAATTATAAAATCATACAATTCCTCAACACCAAAAAAATTGCCGATAACCGGCGACGGGACTCAAACCCGCAATACACTGTGCCTTATCCATTGGGCCACGAAGGCTATTATTATACGAATTTTAAATTTGTTCCATATTAACGTTAAAAAAATAAAAATATTTCGATTTTTTAGTTGGAATTCAAAAATAAACACCCAGTCGTGAGCGTTTTTATTTCTCGTCAAGCGATTAGACGTACAAACTCTTTCTTATCAGTCAATGTTGTTTTATTTCGATAAGAGCGATGCAACACAGCTTTTGTGGAAGACTATGAACAAACATACACACTAAACAAAAACATTAAAATAACTGTGAATGAAATTCTACCATTTCGCTTAAAAGTTTTAAAGACTTGGGAAGACCTGTAGCACTTTCGCGAGTTACCAGATGACAAGGAAGAGACGACTGATTTATTTACTGAGATTAACTAAGTTGCTAACAAAACAGTTACCTCAACTAATTCGCTATACATAAAGGTTTTAAATGATTTTTTAAAAATGAAATAGCTTCATTGAAGCTTTCATTTTGGTTTTAATTGAAAAGTAAAGGATTTAGAATTTACTATTTTCAGTAAGCAAAATATTCTATGGCTTATTTCAAACAGAAATTATTATATTGATAAAAACAGATTTTTTTTCAGTAAAATCGATAATATCAGCCATTTTGACCATAGTTAATTCTCGGATTAAAAAACTTGCAAAAATTAAAATACGTATTGTTGAAACTTTATTTGAGGAAAATTAGAAAATTTAAAGTTAAATTAATCTTATTTAAAACAAATATTAGTTATAAAATATATACAAACATTTCTGATCTATGGCAGAAGATTTTACTGTCTTTCGTAATCATGCGAAATTTTTCATTCCAGTATTCTTTAAATTTTCTAATATTCTCTTTATTTGAATGAAACCGTGATGATCGTGACATTCTGCACAATCTGTAAAGGGTCAGAAAATAAAAATACATGAGATAATGATATATAAGAAAAAGGAGAAAGCATAAAAGTATGTCAAAAAGGGAATTTGATGAATAAGTTTTTACGTGCGAGAATCAAGTCAACGGGGTGTCATTATTGGGTCATGTGCCAAGGGTTGCCCACCACTGGTCTAAACCACTGACATAATAGCAAACCAAGGAGAATCGGACTATCTAGTGAAATGATAGATGTATAAATTGATCTGATTTCAGTCAAGTATTACAACGTCCCAAAATAAATTGGTGATTTAATTAATTTAATACATAAATAAAGAATTCCTTTGACATTTTTGTACGTCGGTGTGGATTGCGGCTGACTAGTTCCGGAGCATCTGGTGTTCTGTTTAGTCTCTTTTAATGGGTGTAGCTAACTTGGTGGAATCCGTTCTGTGAGGGTCTTCCCCTGATTTTTTGCTTGGTTACCAGCTAACTTAAGTGTATTTTTGAATGGGGTGAACCCGCTTGCTTATTTTAAAGAATGAAGCATTTCGTCTGATTTGGTTGTCGATAGACTCTACAGTCACCATATTGCCATTTTTGGATAACTACTTATAGTTTCAAATCGAAGAGCAGGTAGAACATTTTGTGCCTATGTTTTGTACCAGGCACGTTGACCCCTGAAAAAAATGGCAATATTTGGATACGAAGTCTATGATCGACATTTGTCTTCGTCTGGTTTTTGCTGAGGACATGATTTTCGGTGTATTGCGAGACGAGAAACGAATTTTTTGGATGAGGAATGCACAGTGTACCGATATTCATCTTCCTTCTTGTGAAGACTTTGAAAAGAAACAGCTTCGTTGCACTGTGGGGTGTGAACCTGCTTTGTGGATAAAATGAGGCAACAGTTTCTCACTGTCTTCATGAAACGGTCGGCTTCACCATTCGCTTCCGGACAGAGTGATGTGGTTTTACTATAATGAAAACACAACTGGATGGTCGAGGAATTACTGACCTTGAAAAGTAGGGTCGTTATATGTCTTGTCGACTTCCGGCAAGCCTTTTGAAGCACAAAGAATTTAGACCTTGCTGATGTTGACAGGATTATCTCGACATCAGGAAAACTGCTGTATTCATCAATAAACATTAGCAAATAGTCACTCGACATAAAAGATCGTAAGACGTCTTGAGCGATTTCTGTCATTGGAGCAGAGGTTAACGTAATGTTTCATACTTAAATGGAATATGGGTTGCTGCCTTACATGGAATAAAAGCTCGGATATTCCCTTCCAATAACCTGTCAATGGGTGGAAACCATACTTCTCTCTAATTAGCTAGTCCGTCTTAATGATCCCTTGGTAAGTGTGGTGTGCGATATCAATTATTCTCTGCAGCGTCAATGGAACTACGAAGAGGTAATGAAGCAGAAGAACACCGTCTGTGATAAATACTTTATCTTTGAACTGGACTAACCCAGATAAATTTGAAATTTGCCACCGAGAAGACTGTATTGCTTACATCAACTTTTGAAGCTGAGCGTCCTCTTGTGTTGTTGTTGTGACTTCTAGATCCAGTGTTTTGGGAGACAGAATTCTTCGACACATTTGAGCTGTAATTTTTCTCTCCGGCTGCTGGTGTGTGTGTCGACAAATGTGTTCACCCATGTTCTTTCCGCCTCTTCATGGTGAGTATATTAATACATAATCTCAGGGTACGATTCGAGGTTTCCAACTCTTTTTGGTGATAACAGAAATTGGTCTGTGGTCCGTTAGTACTTAAAGATTTTAAACGCAGTTAGGTGGAAATGACAGTGTAGAACAGCATAAACTATTCCTAGCATTTCATTTCCTGTTTGCGTATAAACATATACTATACTTCCATGAGCGGTTTGCTTTGCACTGGTTAGATGAGTATTGCACCCACCTCCCAGGGCTGGGCAGCACCAGACCAGATATGACAGCAATATTCCATGTTCCTTGTGACCTGATTCTTGGAAAGATAGGGGATAGCATTATGAATTAAGTACAGTCTGGAGCGATACAAGGAGCTGAATACTCGAGTTTCATTTAAGGTCTAGTGTTATCATTAGTTCCAGTAGAGGTTCGAGGCAATAAGATATGCTGCACGTGAATAAATACTTTTCCGTTTTTCATACTGGATTAGTCGTTGGCCGGGATTGTTACTAGATCATCCGCAAAGACATAGACATTGGCACGTAAGCGAAATGTGTAGGGATTTGGTCAGCTGCACTCCGATCAAGGGAACACACCCGATCAAAAATCTCCAAGATTTAGTTTTGAACAGCATCAACAATTTCAACATTACCCTCCAGACGACAGACGCAAAATCTTATGACGTCATATTATGCGGGGTGAGGAATGGATGAACGTGCTCTCCATCATTCAAATGTTGGGTCTAGAAATTCAATATGCTTAATCTTGATACTGCATTCACGAACAGTAAATGCTTCTATGAAAATAGCTCAGCAAGCGCCCTCGTGGCCCAATGGATAAGGCACCGGCCTCCTAAGACCGGGATTGCGGTTTCGAGTCCTGTCGGAGGTACACATTAACTTTTCCCCTGAATAGTTGGATCTAAAAAAATTTCTAATTTGTTCATTTTCGTTTTTCGAGTCACTGGATTCCATGACTGTTATAAACCCTTACTGGAACTCACCATTGCGCGTACACATGGATTTCCTGAATTTAGCTCTCGCAGAAATTTTAGACAATCAGTGAAAATCGCTATCGCCACAATCGTAATCTCCTGCTAAACTAGTGCCCTTCCTTCCTTCCTTCCTTCCTACGCTGTTATGCGTGTTGCCCACATCTGTTTTCGATTCATAACTGACTTCTCAAATAAATCCCGAAGTTTGCTTTCCTTGACGGGTGGCCACCTAACGCTATAGGATATAGACTGTACAGCTATTTAATATCATAGTGGAGAGAATGATAAATTCATACCTTTCTCTAAAGTTATTTGCGCGTAAGTGAAAGTAAAGAACTCGACTAGAATTCGAACTCGGCCTTCCAAATTTTAATTATGAATTGTTATCGATCACGTACCCACACACCCAAGCTTACAGAACCTGGTATTTCTAACCGATGATCCATCTCGATATTGACTAGGCTCAATGTTGCTTAAGATATGAAAGTAAAACAAAACTAGCTTATTAGCTCAACGCACAACGAAAGAGAGAGAGAGAGAGAGAGATTGAGTGTGTGTGTGTGTGTTTGTGTTTGTGTGTGTTTGTGTGTGTGCGCACGCGCGTGTGTTTGTGTGTGTGTGTGTGCTTGTGTGTGCGTGTGTGCGTGTGTGCGTGCGTGTGTTTGTGTATATTCCACGGCAGACACAGTAGTTTGGAACTAAAATGCAGTAATATTTACTGGTATTATCTTTCTTCTCTACTGCTAGGTTAGTAATTATAGTGGCATTGCTTTGAAAAATATCTCGGGTTTCTCCACTCTCCAAGGCCCAACTTAAGCATTACTACACCAATGATATATTAACACTTTCACACGACTGAGGGAAATACTCTAGAATAACACAAAGAAAAATATATCTATGTCACAATTTATCCCACACAAACAAATTATACGACATATGAAAAAAAACAAACAAAAGAAAACAAACCAAAAAACTCGAAACATGTGAAAGGTCGAATGAGGAAATTTTAGTGAGTAAACTCGTAGTGTAAAAAATGCAGATCCGTCGCCTTTTGCATTCCTATTTATCTCTAACTATGCAGTCGTTCGAGTGAATGAAATTTGAATAAACGCTACCTGTGATAGCAGGAGTTACATGAGAGCTAAATGATTTATAATCCCTTTTTAATGTACTGTACGACCAAGTAGTATTCTTTTACAAGTGTTCACCCAGTAAACGGCCCAAGTGCCACTCAAGGTAGAGGGTTACTGAAGACGTTTTTGTATGGATGTAAGAGGTGGAAAGATGTGCAGAATGAGAATATGTAGGAAAGATGACAGTTAACGTTAATCTTGAAGAGGTTAAGATTGTAGCAGTTGGGAAAGCACATCTCGGATGTCTGCTCTACAAAGTAGTTCTTCGGAAGAAGATGTCCAAAATGGAAGTTTCTTCTTAATAGAGCAATCAGAAGGGAATAGGAATGAATCGTTCCAATGGACATGGTCTGGATTGAGCTTTGGTTGCCATAAATGTCCACAGCAGGGAGCCTCATTGTGAGTCCAAATGTCCATCATGACTGGAGAATATTCAGAATCTGCTCGGTAACGATAAAGCGTCATTCGCTTAGTTCTTTTAGGGATATTAAATGTTACAAGACAGCATTTCCAACTTACATTTTCATCTTCTTGGATATTTTCTTCTTCGTAAAGTTGGAGAAACTTGTTTTTAATAATGACGATAGAAATCAAATAAAACACGTCGTGTTTGTGAGGAAAAAAAGTTTTTTTTTTTTTTTAGTAAATACTAACTTATTTGAGGAAGTGTGTCAAATCTTCTTTGAAATGTGAAAACAACCCGAGGAAGTACAGGAATTGTACCCTTATTTTGTGGGTGCAGTAAACAGAAGAATTTTGCTCATGAGCCCAAATCAAGTGCATTATATTGACGTCATGTTGACCTATATAAGGCATGAACTACGTACTGAGCCTTGGACAGGAAGGTACACATTACAAAAGGGAAAATGCTGCTACAGGACATAACGAAATTAGATGTTATCACCAGAGACAGTTAAAAAAAGACTCATATAAATCCGCTGGGTACTAAAACACACACACGATAAATCTTATCTATATCTTGTGGTTGTCGTATCTACAATAACATTTTGCCTTGATCATTCTACAAATGGGGACAGAGAAATCATCTAATGTACTGGTGTGTGTAATTCTTTGGCGACTTTAATTTGTATTTGTTTTTTATTTGTTTATCATCTTTGTTTTCTCTGTAATTAAGATAATCTGAATGGATATGTGATAAAAAAAATCCGAAAATATCTAATATGCATTAACTTTCCTAAACTGAAATATCTCTCGAAGAAGCGGTTGAAAGATAAAAAAAATAACAATCCTAACATTAGATTTGTACAAATTCATAAAGTATTTAATTTTTAAGTGATTTTCTGTGGTTTATTCCCATTTAATTGCAAAGTTACCTAGAAATAACTTTGTGATCCATAGAAACGCCACGTAAGTTACTGACACCCCATGAGTTAAACTCTGTGCAATAATAGAAAGAATTCAAGTATATTATAAAAGTTACAATTGGATAGACTTTTTATTTTTATTTGGCCCACTACCTTAAGTGGAAATAGTTATTAGTCATGATACATCCTGATCTATAAACCACGACTGTCATCTTCAATTTCTTTTTTTGCCTAGGTCATCCGGATGAGTTAATTTCTGTAAATATGGATCAGCGAAAATATTTGTAATTTTTTTCCACTTCGACTTATATTTGTTTTTTTTTTCTTAGTGTGTGTGTATATGGGGATTACTACCCGCTGATGGTAATCACAGGCGGTGCAAAATTTGTAAATTTCTTGCACCGATAGACACGAGACATTTAAGTAGTTCACAGACGCAAACTGAAGGTTGCTTTGACCCATTCATAAGTTTTAGTGCGTTTCTAATATTATCCTTCTGTAACATGTCCGTTTTAATACATTTATTAATTATTGTTTGTTTGAATTCCATATTTTGTTTTATATTTATTTTCATCCGAACTCACATGAATCCGTCAAATATTGTTTCCTGAATGAATGTTTCAGGGGACATAAAATGAACAACTTCCGTTCTCACAACAGTTTATTCTTCATTGGTTTATCTGTAATTTCGGAAAATCAAAAGATATTCTCAAAGGACATGTAATTAGGAGAATACGAAAATGTGTAAAATAAATTGACTCTTTGGGATGACATTTCCTAAACGAAGAAGACGAAGAAGACAACACAACATTAGATTGCTAGAAATTCATTTTTTTAAGCGTATTAATGATCTATTCCCAGCAAATCTACCTAGAAAGAAGTTTTTGAATTCTCGAGATTTATAATCCATGTGTTGAATTTTAAAGTATAAACTATAAAATCATACAATTCCTCAACACCAAAAATATTGCCGATAACCGGCGACGGGATTCGAACCCGCAATACACGGTGCCTTATCCATTGGGCCACGAAGGCAATTATTATACGAATTTTAAATTTGTTCCATAATAACGTTAAAA